AGTCTCAGCTCCAATTTATGTTTCACATGGGCCTAAATTCTATTTTCCTGCCCCTGTGTGAATTACAACCAAAGATTCTGTATAGTAGTTTGTATCTGTTAATCACATACCCCTAATTTGTCCCTCCTGTCCCCCTCTTTGGTAACCATAAGTTTGTTTTCTATGTCCGTGAGTCTGTTTTTGCTTTGTATATAGATTCATTTGTATTATTTTTTGTATTCCATGTAAAATAGATAAGCAACAAGGATTTACCGTATAGCACAGGGAATTATACCCAGTATATTATAATAACCTATAATGGAATATAATCAGAAAAAAAAATCACTATTTTGTACACCTGAAACTAACACAATATTGTAAATCAACTATACTTAAATTAAAAAAAAAAAGCTTCTGGCCATCAAGTCCTATTTCCAGGTCCAGTTACTTCCTGTACTGCATTCCATGTCAGCTTGCACTTTTACTATTCTGATTTTCAGTTTAGCCTTTGTTTCTTGCATTTTGGGATATCTCTTACTTTCATATAAACTCATACATAAATTTTTTAAGTTGTTTTTTTTTTTTGTATGACTTTTCTGAGTCTTTGTAGCATGATGATTTTTATGCTCATTCCTTTGGGTTGTTATCTCAGATACCGTCTTTTTAACCTGCCTTATTTTCTTATTAGTACTTATTATTCTGTCACAGAAGCAGATGCTGCGATGAGGTTTGGGGTTCAAGTTGTTTATTAGGAATTAACCTGTGAAGAAAGTGAGGAGCAGGATTGGGCACAGGGAGAAGTCAGACTGCAACGTGGCCTGCTAGAGCCTCAGCCAGCCTCATGTAGAGCCTGTCAGAGTGGCCCATGTTGAGCCCAAAGGCTGAACCTCTCTATCCCCACTTCCCCACTTAGTCGCAGATGCAAACTTCCTTGGGAAGAGTATGGCTTTGAGAAAGGTGGCTTTCTACAGCTCAAGTGGATCCTCAAATAGTTGGCAGCTGGGGCTGCCTGCTGACTGTAGTGCTGTAGCTGGACAGAAAGTCCTTCCTTGAGGGAGATTGGGACAGCACAGCTCTGCGTCTACCACACACTCTCTGAATTCATACTGTTCAGTCATTTCTCTACTGATTTTTTTTCTACTCCAAAAAATAAAAGCTCTGTGGACGAAACTGAGACTGGCCTGGTGGAAATCAAAAGCCAGTGTTTGTGAGCAGGGGGAAATTAGTTGGGCTTAGTCAAGTAGGCCTAGACTTTGATGGGTCTTGGAGTAGAAGGAGAGTTTACATTGATTATCTGACGCAACAGTTTTCTCTTGCTGTCATAATAAATGACCACACACTTTGTGACTTAAAACAGCACAAATTTACTATCTCATGGTTCTGTAGATCAGAAATCTGGTTCCTCTGTTCTGGGTCTCCCAGAGCTGAAATTAAGGTGTTGGATGGGCTGGGCTGTTAGCCAGAGACCCTGGGGGAGAATCTGTTCCCATGCTCATTCAGGCTGATGGCAGAATTCAGTTTCTTGTGGTCATAGTGCTGAGGACACATCCTTGCTCGCTGTCAGCTGGAATCCTCTCTTAGCTCCTTCAGGCCACTTACATTCCTTGTTATCCTTCCCTTCATCTTTGAACCAGCAATGATGAGTTGCGTCCTCGTGTTTTGAATCTCTCTGACTTTCCCTTCTGCTACATAACTTCTGCTTCCAGCCTAAGAAATTTCTGTTTTTAAGGGCTTATGTAATTAAATTGGGCTTACCAGGATAATCTCCTTATTTTAAGACCAGTAGCCTTAATTATGTATGCAAAGTATCATTTCTCATATAATATGACATGTCAGGGATATCTGATACGGACAGCTTTGGGAGACACTGTACTGCCTACCACTGCTGGGGAGCAGAGGTTTCAGGAAAGGGTCCTGACATGATAAAAGCGGCATTTTAGGAAGATTTCTCAGCAGTCAGGTAGGGGATGGATAGGGCCAGGGAGACAGTGAAGGAGGATGCTAATCTAACAGAAAATAAAACTATAAGGTTCTAGATGAGGGCAATGATAATAAGAACAGGAAAGATGTGAACGTCAATTAAAGAGTTTAGGAGTATCTGATCAGATTTGCTGGCAGATTTATGGGGTACAGGAGAGGGTAGTGGGTTACATGAGATATTGTGTTTGAAAGGTGATGAGTTCATTGTGAGCAGGTTGGGTTTAGTGTTCTCACCCTAGTGTAAAGCTGCATAATTGGGGCCATCAAAGACTTACCACAGCTTACTGTCTCTGACACAGAGGCAGGATTACATGGAGCAGGACTCTAGAGTATACATCTGTTTTCACTTCTGGTACTAAAAAGACTCATTCTAGGGCTTCCCTGGTGGCGCAGTGGTTGAGAGTCCGCCTGCCGATGCAGGGGACACGGGTTCGTGCCCCAGTCCGGGAAGATCCCACATGCCGCGGAGCGGCTAGGCCCGTGAGCCGTGGCCGCTGAGCCTGTGCGTCCGGAGCCTGTGCTCCGCAATGGGAGAGGCCACAGCAGTGAGAAGCCTGCGTACCGCAAAAAAACCAAAAAACAAACAAAACACTCATTCTAGAAACTCTGTGGGACAAGCAATAAGATAGGGTTATTACCTACCCAGATATGTTGTAATGTAAGTGCAGATCATCCAAAATAAATTTTTAAGTTCTAAATTATGTACCTTTGACAAAAGCATCCATCTAGAATTCTAGGTGATATATGTATCTTCTACAGTGTGTTTTACTCAGGCTGATATTAAAATAGGTTTGTATTATCTCAGTATGAGTCAATTGGGGACTGGGGAATTTCCTTCAGAAACATGTTGAAGGGAAATCAGCTTAAATATCAGTTTTGCAGAAGAATAACATACATGGAGATGATTAAGAAATCACTATATTTTTATTCCTATTGTGCAGACGGTAGAAACAAAGACGAGTCATTGATGGGCTTAAGGTGAGTCTGTCTGGGTATTACCTCAGTCGTCACCTGCTTTCACCAATGAATTCCTGGCAAAGCTGGAAAAAACACACAGGAGAAGAGATATCCCCAAACCAAAAGCTCATGTTTCTTTGTTTTCAGTATTGAATTCTCCAGAGTATCTGGAGTGAGCTGGTCCAGCAATTCTTCTTTTCACACCTGTAGACCTTAACCTTTAGGTCACTCAAGTTCATAGTGGAGAATAGAAAGAAATATTTTGGAGTAGAGAATGAATACTTGGGGGGGTATTTGGGGGGAAATATTTGGGGGGAAATGGGTCAACCAGCGTGTCTAACTGTATGTAAATGGTGTACTTTTCAATATTTGGTGCATTTGCTCTGTTTTCATTCACTGTGCTTCTTTTTCTCATCAACAAATGCTAATTTTAATCCTATGGATAGCTAAAGGCAGCATTAATTTCCATTCGGGCATACAAGACAGGTTTTATGGTTCCTAAAATGGTACCACCAAGCAGCCTTGTGTGTATAGACTGAGACTGCAAGAGCTTGGGAAAGTAGGAGGAAAAGGAGAAGGGGCAGTGACGCCTGTACCAGTGGAAAAGTCTCAGAAATGGCAGCAGATAGGGAAGCGTTGATTGGCAAAGGCTGGGGTCTAGGTGGCTATCTAGAGAGCCCCCATCCTTCTGATCCACATATGCATAATGTTGGAGTCGTTGTGTATACGTGTGCCTTTCTTGGGAACTTTCATCAAAATTCTAATGGGTAAGGACCCGTGGGGTCCAGAAAGAGAGTTTAGAGAAGCAAAATAAATGGAAAACCAGGTAGATACTATCTGAAAACAGTTCCTAAAGCAGTCACTAGTAGGATGAGGCCAAGGGATGAAAACGAAGAACTTTTTAAAAGCATCTACCCTTTTCTGAGAGCATCAAAATAAAGAGACAGTAAGGCTTCAGGGCAGTGAAGGGAAGGAATGTTACATATTGAACATCAGGGGAGCAAAAGGCTTTAGAAGATTATGAGCCTTATTTGCATATTTTCTGGAAATGTGTCAAGAAGAGTGAGTGCATCTCTATATGCAAAACTTCAACCAAAATAGATCATCTGAGTGAAGGAAATAATAAGGGAGCTGGCTTGCCTATTGACATTTATTTAACTCTTTTAGAGGAAAGAATATGTTGGCAAGAGCTTTTGGGAAAAAAATGTATCTGCTTTCCAACCACAAGAAAAGGCAACTGATTCAAAGCCAAGGAGTATTCTTGGATTGAACTTTAGTAGTGCCTTAATTTAGACAGCTGGAGAAATGCTTTTTTCAAGTATAAAATTAAACTTTCCAAAGGAAAGTTTTCGTTTTGGTTTTAAATCTGGACTTTACTGTAAATTTGTCCTTCTATGAATTTGCCAAAATAACCACCACTTTTCAGTGATGGTGAATATATTGCATTTATGAGAGGACTTAATGTGAGTAAGGGCTGAGCTGCCCCTATATACTTAGTAAATAATGGTACTTCCTTAGCAAGTAGTGAGGGGACTTTTGACAAAGCTATAAATGACAGTGCCCTAGATCTATATAAATCATCAGGGATAGAGCTCAAAAACTTAATGTTGAGTGAAAAAGCAAGTGACAGATATGTACAGTGTGTTATTTCTGGATACATATATAAGCAAGAAAAAAATTTTTTTAATTATGTATATTGTGCTACTGGTTGCCTGGTGTGGGAGAGTTGCCTCTGGGGCAGAGAATAAAGAGGAGAAGTGAGAAAGGAGTCTGATGGTTGTCAAAGAGAACTTTAGTCCTTTCTTTCCCTCCCTCCTTTCCTCCATCCCTTCTTTCCCTAAAAGAATGCAAGTGTGAATTGCTTGTGCAGTTTTATTTAAAATTATCTACACAGAAAAAATATTGGAGCAATTCAATATTGAAAGTTAATAATTTTGTAAATGGATGGTAGGAATATGTGGTTTTTTTTCCTGTGTTGTAGGGGAAAAAAAAAGAGCATTTACTGAAGATATCTATATTATTTCAATGTATTAAAATGCCAGTATTAACACTGATCTTCTTTTTCCCTATCGGGCATTCCTTAGCAGCAACCAGGAGAAGAAAAGAATGAGAAAAAGAATCCAATTCCTATTTCATATTCCATAATCAGGACAAGAATAAGAAGATGGAAACACTTAAGGCAGAGGATTGAAGGTGAGTGAAAACATATGAGGGACAAATTGTGGAGGAGATGGAGTAGACAAGAATATAAACAGAGTATTGTGGCACAGCCCAAAAAATATATACATATATATATTACAAAGCAAGTCAATTACATTATAGAGTCAGTCATGCCAGTTGGTCAATATCTTGTGAAACAAATAATGTGAAACATGTGAATTTTAAAATTTTTAATTTGAGCCATAAGTGTCATAAAAATCCATTAGGCTAAAGTGTGGAGAAAATGAGTCTGTGACATTGAGTGGGCCTGAAGCGTTCTTCTGTATGTCTGTGTTTTCTGTTAAATGAGGGGCCTGAGAAGACACTTGTCCTAAGGGAGTGTGGGAACATGACCCGCCCACAGAGGCTTTGATCTGTGAACATAGAAGTCAGCATTGCAGGGACAGATACTCCCTTCTAGTTAAAAGGCAGCTTTTGTCTGGAAAGTTCCCCTCTAGCAATACATAGACCAAAGCAAAAATACTAATAGGATGGTGTGGGCATGAGGACATGGCCTCTGTCTGATTGTTGATCTGCAGTCTCACAGTGTCCTAGGTCTTATAAGTGAAGATGTGTAAGTAAAGCCACATAAGTGGAAAGTCAGGGTGGCAGGAAATGCATACATGTTGCGTCACATTTTATTCTTTGGATTTGCATTTCCACGCTCTTCCTCTCTGCCAGAATTGTTCCCATCTAATATCCATGCTTCAAATGAAATAAATGGGTTCACATTTGTAAATTATCTTGGAGGCCCCTCTTACCCATTTTCCTCTTTCCTTAACTGGCCATTTACTTTCAGTAATTTATGTTGGCTATAGAAATGGGGGAGTTTGGGATGCGTAAAGACATACCCCAAAGAAAGGGGAAGAACTAACAGATTCTAGTGAGAAAATTATCTTTGGTGCTTCAGTGCTTCTTGCTGAGTACATCAGCCTCAGGTGGGTTTTGCTCTGGTGACCTTGAGTCCCGTCCCTCCTTTGCTGTAAAAGCTGAACAGATATTTTGCTGAATAGAGCAGAAATAGAGCTCCTCATGTTGAGGAGTACACCAAGCTGAATAAATCATGCCTTCAGAACCGGGCCTGATTTTTTTTTTCAGTGGAATTTTGTGATCCCCTAATGGAAAGGTTTTATAAAATAAGGGTATATATGACTTCCTGAAAACAATTAGAGGCTCTGTAATACAGGCACATCTAATAAAAGTTATGAATCCTTTGGCAAAAACAAATATGAGGTTTTATTGATAAGCTGACGGTTACACAGAAACACTAGGGCATATTGACTTTAATAATACATTAAGTGGTTTAATTAAATCATTAATTCCACCCTCAGTTCCATTTTTCAAAAGACAGTCAATGTAAAAATAAAACGGTTTCTTTTTTTAGCTGCTTCTCTTTCCTCTATAATTCATTAGGATGAGTCTATAGATTGACTTATTGCTACTCTGCCGTAAAGCACTTGCCGCCATTTCAAGAATATAGTACTTTAAGCAGGATACAAGGAAGTATTGATCTTAAGGTGACATCTTCCTTCACTTTTCCTAAAAGGGTTTTTTTTTAGAAAAATCTATAATATGTGTATGACTACAGAGATTTAAGTCACAACATTATTATACTACTACTAAAATAATTGTTAGCTTGTTTCTCTGGTCTGTGGGGAAAACTTATAAAAGGTATGTGAGCAATTTTAAATTCATGAAATGGTAATCATCATACATTTTCTTTCTAAATTAATTTTTATTTATGAAAGTAATATATGGAAATAGTTTTTAAAATCAGTAATATCAGAAAATATATAAAAGAAATTAATAATCTTTCGTCTCACCCTCCCGATACTGTAATCATACTCCCCAGAGACAGTATATATCTCTGTATTTAAAAATAATATTACTGGGCTTCCCTGGTGGTGCAGTGGTTGAGAGTCTGCCTGCCGATGCAGGGGACACGGGTTCGTGCCCCGGTCCGGGAAGATCCCACATGCCGCGGAGTGGCTGGGCCCGTGAGCCGTGGCCGCTGGGCCTGCGCGTCCGGAGCCTGTGCTCCGCAACGGGATAGGCCACAACAGTGAGAGGCCTGCGTACCACAAAAAAAAAAAAAAATAATAATAATAATAATATTACTAAGCCATAAAAAGAAACAAAATTGAGTTATTTGTGTAGTGAGGTGGATGGACCTAGAGTCTGTCATACAGAGTCAAGTAAGTCAGAAAGAGAAAAAAAAATACCGTATGCTAACACATACATATGGAATCTTAAAAAAAAAAAAAGGTTCTGAAGAATCTAGGGGCAGGACGGGAATAAAGATGCAGACTTGAGGACACGGGGAGGGGGAAGGGTATGCTGAGAGGAAGTGAGAGAGCAGCATGGAAATATATACACTACCAAATGTGAAATAGATAGCTATTGGGAGGCAGCCACATAGCACAGGGAGAACAGCTCGGGGCTTTGTGACCACCTAGAGGGGTGGGATAGGGAGAGTGAGAGGGAGACGCAAGAGGGAGGAGATATGGGGATATATGTACATGTATAGCTGATTCACTTTGTTATGCAGCAGAAACTAACACACCATTGTAAAGCAATTATACTCCAATAAAGATGTTTAAAAAAAATAAATAAAAAATAAAAATAATATGCTGTCTTAGCCTAGATTCTCTAAAAACAGATTAACTAAGGGGTTAATGTTTTGATAGTTTGGGTGGTATAAGCCCAGGTAGATGAAGGTAAGAAAAAAGGGAAGTGAGGCAAGGAAAGCTACAAAGCAGTGCCATGTAATACATTACATGATGGGTACTTAGCAGGCATGTCAACTCAGCATATGGATTTGTCCCCATGGGTTGTGATGAGTAACCCCATCCCCAAATACTGCGTGGATGGAAATTCATCTGCTTGGCTTGCTCTGATCTCCCTTTTCCCCTTGGTCAGAGTCCACTCCATGGGGAGCTAACTCTTCTGTAGTTCAGGATCATGCCATCTGGCCCTTGGTGGCCTCCTAGAAGCTTCTCCCACACCCTGTGGTGTTGCATTCCATTGAAGTCCAGGAGTGGAAGGGTGACTTGGCATGGACAGTCTCAGCATGCGAGGTGTATGGGCCATCCAGGTGCTGGACTTCACCTTAACTCCAGCCAGCTGGGAAGCTTGGCAGAGGTGATAAAGAGGGGGTGGTGGCTCAGCCTGGAATACAGACCAGGCTGAGCACCTGGAATACAGCACCTTCAGAAAGGAGACAGTAGGAGCAATGTGAGTGGTTGTATAATACCTATACTATGTTTATTCCTTGATATACCAATTTTAGACATTAAATATTGACTTCTTAATATGGGCTGATGAGTATTTAACTCTCTCTTACACCCGTTTTTTCATTCCCACTCCAATATAGTTATATAATAGTTTTTGTTTCAAGGTAATAGTCAATGTTTGCATTATTGTGTTAAATTATATTATTGCTAAGCCAAGTAGTGAATATAATTATATTTTCTTTCTTATACAACTTTCATTTTCCCTAATTACCACAAGTTTTTATTTCCATTGTTTTCTAAGAACTTTTCTAATATTTTCCATTATAGCTAACTATAATCATTTTTTCTAAATCCTCACACATGTAAGACAGTCCGTCAATTCCATTTTTTTCCCCTCCTTTCATGACCCCTTTCCCAGAGCCCTGGATTCTCCTGCTTTAATCTGGACTGATTGCTTTCCAGGCCTGATGATGTGGAATTCTTATTTTCTGTGTCTCGTATTTTCCCTTTTCTTGGATAACTCCTTTGCTTGAGTCTAACACATCCAACAGTGGCCTCTTAAAATAAATTTGGTAGACACTTATAGTACTTCTCTATGATCAGTTTTCCTCTCTTCCTGGACAAATGGGAGGGTGACACTTCATTGCCTCCTTGCAGCTACATAGGTCATTATCTAGTTCTGGCCAGTGGCCTGTGAGTAGGAGTGACACATACCAGTTCGTGCAAAAGCATACTCTTTACCCATGGGAGGAGATACCATGCCTTGTATAGAGATGGTCATAAGACCAAAACTAAGCCTGGATTGCTAAATTGCCATGGAAGATGGTTGACCTGGAGAATCTCCTGTACTCACATAAATTCCAGGTATACCAATAAAGAAGCCTTTGCTGAATTAAGCAGCTGAGATTTTGGCATTGCTTGTAATCTGGCCTCTCCTGACTGATACAAAAGGGTTCATGGGAAATACATTTTTGAGCCATTCTGATCTGAAAACATTGTTATTCCACCCTCCCATTTGATTGAGTAGCTGAATATAGAATTCTAGATTATAGAAAAATTATATTCTAATCCTATCTGTTTGTATGCAACCTAGCTTTTCCCTGGAAGCTTTTAGGGTCTTCTGCTTATCCCTGGTGTTTAGAGATTTCATTATGATGTGTCTTGATGTGAGCCTTTTTTTACTTTTATTTATTGAGGGTCAATCTTGAGGTTTATGCCATTCATCTCTGATAAATTTGGCATTATATCTTTGATAGTTTTCCCTATTTTTCTTTCTATAATTCCTATTAGTTGGATGTTATATAGCCTGGAATGATATTCTTTTTCCTCACTTTTAAAAAAAATTTGGGCTTCCCTGGTGGCACAGTGGTTGAGAGTCCGCCTGCCGATGCAGGGGACACAGGTTCGTGCCCCGGTCCGGGAAGATCCCACATGCCGTGGAGCGGCTGGGCCCATGAGCCATGGCCACTGAGCCTGCACGTCCGGAGCCTGTGCTCCGCAACGGGAGAGGCCACAACAGTGAGAGGCCCGCGTACCGCAAAAAAAAAAAAAAAAATTAATTATTATTTTTAAACAGCAGGTTCTTATTAGCTATCTATTTTATACATATTAGTGTATATAGGTCAATCCCAATCTCCCAATACATCCCACCCCCTGCTTTCCCCCCTTGATGTCCATATGTTTGTTCTGTACATCTGTCTCTATTTCTGCCTTGCAAACCAGTTCATCTGTACCATGTTTCTAGATTCCATATATATGCAT